TCGATCATATTACCAGAGAACAGATAATTAATCAGCACACTACTGATCTAGCTAAAACACTTCTGTTCAATGGACAGTCGAGAGTTTGTGTTATTATGGACGGAACTTATCTGTATTGTCAAAAGTCAAGAAACAACTACTTTCAGCGACGATCCTACAGCACTCACAAACATCGTCATCTTTTAAAACCAATGATAATAACATCCACTGACGGCTATATAATAAGTGCTTTGGGTCCTTTTTTATCTGATTCGAAAAACAACGATGTCAGTATCATCACACATTGTTTCCTCAACAATTATGATAATATATTAGACCGGCTTAACCCGGAGGATATTATAATTGTTGATCGTGGATTTGGTGATGCAGTTAACGTTATGGAAGATATAGGATTCGAAGTTATGATGCCAGAGTTTTTAAACGGAAAAAAAACAATTTACCACCTTACAGGCTAATTCATCACGATGTGTAACGAAAATGAGATGGGCTGTTGAAAGCGTTACTGCGATGATAAAACGTTGAAAATTATTAAATCAAACTATACAGAGTACTACAATACCTTACTTGTGAGAATTGGTTTTGATAGTTTGCGCATTAATTAATCGTTACAAATCCCGTGCTACTAATGATTTAACAGACGCCTCTAATACAGGCCAACGAATGCTAGATATGCTTCATAAAGAGAATAAATTGGAAAAGCAGCTCGATCGTATGGATTTGAGAAAACCTTCTAAATGGATAGATGTTGATGCTGATCAAGTGGATTTTCCGCAACTATCAGAAGATGCCATTCGAGAGTTGACCCTAGGCAACTTTACCATTACCACAAGAAGTTTATTTATTTAAGTGTGTTCTATTTCCTTCTGTGTATTAAGGTGTATACCAAGTCAAACAGGCACGGTCTTACGTAGAATAGAAGAAAGCATCAAATAATGATTCTATATTTACAGTTCAGGTGTGTGTGTAACTAAAGTGAGAGAAAAGCATATAAAAGCATAGCACACAAAAAGCGGCTACAACCGTCATATTACTGACACTAAACTTAACCCATCAACAACACTGATTAATTTTGTTCATGACAGTCAAACATACTCAGACTATGACACAAGTTCAGACGAATCAGACTCCCGATACGTTTTACGCCGTGAAAGTGACCATTCGGACAAGTAAAGTCCTGTCTATGCTCTTTTGTACGAAAACAAATAAATGATCACACAAAAAGATTAAAATCAGCTGCTTAAAAGTCAAAACTAAACAAAACATATAAAACACGTGTCTTGCATATCTTTTGCAGACGTTACTAAAACAGAAAACGCTATACAAGTTCTCTTACGTTTAAGCAGCGAACAGTTATATTCACAAAGACCGCTGTCAGGCTTCGTTAATGTTCTTATTAACACATCCTGTAGAGCTTTTCAAGACGCATTGAATGATATATGAATGATTAGGGCTCACCTTTATTTTCATAGAGAAAAGTGATCGATAGTTCGAGTGGCATAGCGGCGACCTATGGAAAAATCTAGTATTTAATTCACAGTGGCCGCTGCCAGGCTTCCTTAAGATTCTTATTAACTCATCTTGTAGAGCTTTTCAAGACGCATCGAAGGGTGTATTACACTAAGCTAAGTACTGTATAGTTGTGAAGAACTTTTGATTTTACCGTAATAATGATAGTGTGACAGGGGGTGTTTCTCTGCGAGTATATTTGATCGTATACGTCCAATCTGAATCGTCCGAAAAAGTCGAAGGCACTGAATAAGATACGTTTGATGAATTCTGGATAGATTGAGCCAATAAAATAGTAATAATTTAGTGGGCCGATTTCAAGCCTTATGCGGACTACTCCTTTAGGTGTGTTCATTTTATATGTTAACAAAAAAACATGTGAAGATGCTTGGCTATATTATGAGCATCTATTTAATATATCAACAACACTATTTGATACTGAGGAACTAACTATTAAGGGTATTCGTGAAAACAACCAGTTGTTAGCGGACCAGGAAACTAAAAATATCCGAGAATATCCAGCAAATATATTTTCCTTATCAGTAATGAACGCTTACGATCGTGATTTATCTAGAAATGGTCCATTTTTCAAAAAACCAGAACGATTTGAGTTATGTCCTAGTGGATTGATTAAAAACGGTTTAATACTGGACGGTCGATATTTAAATAATTGGCAGCGATCATTTATTAAAGTAATACCATCGTCACATGATCAAGTGGAATTTGAAGCAAAACTACGTCGTTTTGGTGTCAATTTAAATGATTACATACAGTTGTATCATACCTCATCAAAAACAAAATTATTTACATTACCTGGTGCTCAGTTTATGGCATTACATTACGAACAGTATGTTGGTGAATATTATAAATATGTTGATGATTTATTTATGAAACAAGAAATTGAATTACTACTCGAAGCAGACTTGATTCAAGAGCAAATAGTTAGCGGTCAAACAACATATATATTGAGAGTATAACTATTGATCGATACGGACTAGATATATAATAGAGTTAAAGTTAGATACTTTAGTTCCGTATTTTAATTTTATTTAAATTTTTATACAAAGGCGTTATATGTTCAATGCGTTCCGATTTCCCAAATATTATCATTCCATATCACACCAGTAAAAAAGAAGTACAATGAGATAAAAAATACTAGAATGACTGAAAAAAATTCAGAACGGTTTCATCTTACGTGCTATCTGTTACATGTAGTGGTTTTCGACATTGAAATACTATTAATTTTATTGCATTCCTTAGTATCAATTTTCCCTAGGCACTGATTATCGATGTTAAACTCATTCATTCTTGGTCAAATAAGCATCTTGAACATATCTTGGGATAACGAAAGAATAATTTATAACTTAGTAATGCACTTGATAAAGTTATCTCGGTTTTATGTTTTTATATCTATCAGATTTATGAAACGACCAATCTTCCGTCCTGTTCGGAGCCAGTACGCAGACTGAGATGTTTTTATAACAATGTCAGTTGTCGGATTTGAAATTATAAAATTCGACAATGTAACAGATCAACTAAAATCGAAAATCAAGCAAGTTTTGACAAGAAACTATAATTCTTTAAAAAATAAAAAATAATGTTTATGATGAGTAAACAACTAGTTGGCTTAACTCGCTCTGTCTTTCTCTATCTGTCTGATATGGTGATTGTCATTAAATATACAGGGGAATTAGATTTCAAGTGTCTTTTTCAGCCTGCATTAATTATGGTGCTTTTAGAAATCCAGTTAAAAAAGTTATCTGTATCTTATAGAACCAGTTTTGCTACTTCATAAAATAGGTATTTTATTTTGATAACAAAAAGCATTTTGGTATCTCGGGATACCAATCACTCGTAACCTACTAAATCCTTTTTCTTCGTCAATAATCGCTTTAATTGTAAAGAGCGTCTGCTATCAATGTTTTCATGTTGAACCTTTTCTTAGACTGGTCGATGACTGAATGAATGGCATCAATGTGATTACTGTTTCCTTTTCATTGATAGATAGCTGATATTATTTAGATCATAATGACGGTGAAGCCTCATATTCTCCCTTACGATCCGAAACTTCTGACCTTGACAAAACTTCATTTTATGATTGTGTTCTAACAAAGTACAAAACGAAACACGTAAGACAATTATCTGTCAAATATCTATAGAACATACTTTGGTTTTTTTGGATGAAACAGTATATTTGTTGTTGCTTCCATATTTGTGTCATACAGATGACGAAGTTTGTAAAATTCGATTCGATCTAACCGCTCTCTTGCACTTGAATTTAATCGTTGCTGAATTTCTCTATCAATTATAAATGCATTGCATTGACATGATTGTTAATAATGTTTCAGATATAGATTATCAGGGACGAATGTTACAATATGATAAAAACGCTTGGCCACTACATCAGTTATACTTGAAAATTCAAATACTATAAATGGAAATGAGAAGATTAAATACGATGAAAGAAATATTAGTTTGGTTTCTGAGACATTAAGTACCTGAAGTTGTGGATTCACCGACTTCTCCACGAACAGAACCTCAACTCTTCCGCGAGTTTTTGTAAACTCATCGGCCCCCGCACACTGTCAAAAATAGACAAAAAATAGAGACATTTGCGGAAGTGTCATTCGCGGAATATTCGTGTCATGACAGTTGTGTATTGAAAAAACGATGAATAATTCTATCTTGATATTTCAATCCATCAATAAAACAAATGTTGAAAATTAACTAACGACCTTGTGCGTTATGGATTCGCGAATATGATCGTATTTTCATGTGATAGATAGCACTGTCTTTTTAAAAACAAATGAGCGTAGTCATTTTTTGACCAACTTCGATTGACGACAGCTAGCGCGTTGCACGGTTCGAGAGTCAATCACCTTTCGATGAGCGAAAAACATGTAAAAAGTTTTATCAAAAATAGTATCTTTTCAGGAGTTCACCAGCAAAATACTTGTAATGTACAACAATTCCAAAAGGCGCACATTGTTTTTTTTTACAGGGATGGATCGACTCAGTGGCCTACTAATCTTCCGATCTCTTCATTTTCTGTCATGTGGGTATGATATCCGACTGCCATAAAATTAGAGGCCGATCATATGTCCGATCACTAAAGTTGAGTGAAAGTCTTGATTATTGATCACGCTGAGTGTCATGGCAATGTTAGTTTTTAGAACAAACTATAAAATAACCTATTTTTATGTCTTTTTGCTTTTTCCCATCGTGTGTGTGCGTATGACTCAACGTTTAAATTCATCTATTAGTTATGTGTTTCTCCTTCAGAATCGGTATGTGTATGTGAGCATGTTCTTTATTCTTTCAGATCAATGTATGCGTATGTGTCTGCGTCTTTCTTTTCTATGAATAAATGCGAGTGACTGAAAGTCTTCTTCTTTCACATTTAATTCTCTACAATGGCAATCTTTATATGAATGAACAGGCAAAATAATGTCATGGCTTTTACCTCTTCTCGTTTGTTGTTCTTATATATTTACTTCTACTCTTCTTTTTCCACGCATCCTATTTAATTTCATTTAACCCACTAAGTACCATGAGCCCCACTTGGAATAATTAAATACCTGTTCCCTTATTTTCAGATGTATAAATATTTTTATTATGCAGCATATTGTTGAAGAAAGCATAGAATTTACCTGGCAAAATAATCGGCAAGACTTTGAGATGACAGAAGATTGCCTAAGTAAGAAAATTTATGGGACATCTAAGTTTGAAAGTCTAAAAATTCCATAAAATAATATATTAATGGAATTTTATATAAATTTTATAATTTTATATCGAAAGAGTAAAGCCTTCTCTAGAAAATGCTAGAAGTCCGAACTCTCTATCTCTTTCATTCTCGAGTTATTCATAAAACATCCATGGCCTCTCTATTCAGAAATCGATAGTAGAAACCCCGTTTGCCTAAAACCGAATACAAATAACTACTGATCGGTAACACTTTGAAAAGACATACATAGAGCTTTGTAGCGCTTCGAAATCTCTATCGAATGACGTATCACTTTATCGTTTTTAATAAATCGTTAATTTGCAAAAATAAAAGTATAAGGCACCAGAGTGATATAAATTAGCATTCATTAATTATAAACTATTGTCTTAACAAAACCTTTTTTTAAACTTCTTCATAGCATAACAACAGACCATTGGCTATCACGCAATGTATGAATGACTTTTCTACGATTATTTTTAACTGAGCTACAAGTTTTTTAAAACGAGGACCAGGACTGTAAATATTAATTAAAATTTAGACTTAATTAATTAATAACTCTGTGAATAGTTACCAGTTCCTCGAAAGAACTTAAGGATATATGTGATCAAGTGTCCTCTTTCAGCTGACATAGTTTGAGGACACATATCTGTGGGTTGGACCCCCATAGGAGCCATTGCACGAGAAATATGACTGTTTCTCACAGAAGCGTGCTCAATGACTATTTCAGACTTTTTTCTAAGCAGTCTCATCTTGTAGAGCATGTTTGAAAATCTATAAATTCAAATGTTTAGGTTTTCCAAACTTTTCATTCTGTAGATGTGTAATTTTCTCGACTGGAGCAAAGTTCGAGAAGTTATACGGGCGAAAAACGTACATTTCGTTTTTCTGGCGAACGAGAAGAAATAAAACCTTGATTTTCTCAAAGCAGGTTGTACCTGATATCTACCCTATAATGACATACAAATATAACGTATACCGCTCATCCCATACATTACAGCAAGACCGAAACGGAGGTCCGTGGAACACTTTTTTACCGATTAGTCTCGTTATTATGAACTTACGATGAGTCGGACTACTTGCAGTAGATAGTACTTTCAGTGTACTATCTGGAATCACCGTCAAAAGTATGTGATGCGCATATTTGTTACAGAAAGTTTTGCGACCCAAGTCGAAGTAAATGGTCGGCATAAACATTCACTTCAAAGATTTTTTATGTCTTAATAAAAAACTATACATTTTGTAAAAGAATAATATTCCCTGAAATTCCCTACAAACTGAGCTAGTCGGAATATCTAGACCAATGGAGTATATCGCCATTTTATGAGAACACTTGATAGGGTTTCCGGAAAATCTGACCGCTGGAAAGCCATATCTTTGTTTAAACAGAAAATTGTCAGAAAATTTTCCTAACCGTATAGCCTAATAGAGTGAGGAATTCTGAGGAAAGTAAGATATCTCCCGGCTGTCCAAAACGCATTTTCACCGGAACATTTTGGTAATTTTAACGCCTTGTGTAGCCATTCGTAAATCGACTGCAGTGGGTGAAAAAGCGTTTTGAATTATTAAAAAACGCTTGTATGTAGCTGTGAATGAGTGAGGTCGACGGTGCACACAATCCTCTATCTTTCTACCTAGGAAACCATTCATAATCCCGAGGCTTAGTGAGTGGACAGTGACCATGGTTTGATGCTCACTCTCATGCCCATCCACTCTACGCTTTCACGTCTTTACCCTTTTATGTCTTTACGCCTGTACGTCCAGAACGTATATATCGAAAATCTCGTAATATATGAATGCCAACAAAAGAACTTATTCACTTTTAAGAACTCTGTCGAAATTTGTATGTATTCGATTTTTGACAGTATCTAATTTCGAGCGGAAAACCGTGATACTGTCGGATTTCGGGCGAAAATTTTTCAGCAGACTAAAAATTCGACAGTGTCGAAATGTTTTGAAAAAATATTCGTGCCTGTTAAACTGGCTAGAAGACTGATAAATGTGATCGACGTGTTTTCTCATACCCTTTGTTTTTATTTGATTGCTTTATTTTGTTTTGTTGATCATCTTCAATGAGTTTTCAAGTGGAATGACGGCATCAGCGCACTCCCAAGCACACATCTTAAACAAATTAAAACAAATTACTGTAAACGTATACAATCGAGGTATGAGTTTCATATAGCCCCACCTTAGTCTTTCACGCTTGAATGGAGGAATTACACTTTACACCCAGGATCTGCGCTGATAAGCTTTTTATATCATTGTACTCGCCATAATAGCAAAAGTCAAATTAACTAATGTGTGTTTCAAGGTTTTTGGACGACTTTGACTTTTTCGCAAAAATGTCGGTTGAAAAGTTTCTTCGAAAATCCTGAAACACACATCAATCAACTCGGTTTTAGATGCTGATTTCACATACGACATTAGTTTTGAAAAAATGGAAATTTTATGAAGAAAACTGTAAATGCAAGTGAATTTCCTGGTTTTCTGTTACCTACTTCAAAATATTTTATTTTCTCATCAACGGAACAATATGTTCCAAAACCGATACGTAACTTTTTTCGAGTCATTATGGCGAATATAATAATTTAAAAATGACGCTTCATCTTTTATCTAGAAAGATTTGAAGTATTTGGTATATATATATCAGAACAGAAGAACTGCTAAATCTGGTTGTTTTAGATCGTATTTTGCAAAGAAAAAATTGCTGTGCCTGATGATTACTGAAACTTTTGAGACTGAGACTAGACTGAGGCTGAAAAGTCATGACTTGCTTACCTGTGAATAATACCATGGTTACCAAACACTATTTTGATTTGACTTGGCTGAAAGAATTTTTCTGTAAGAATACTTATCTTAACATATGTAGTTCTTTTTATCACACAGGCGTAGTGTGTGCCTGCCTTTAGCTTTCCCCTTTTGTTTTGGTTTTCTGTTGAATTTCTCCGCTGTTGATCGAAGAAATATTAGCCACACATACATTTATTTTCAAATAACTTCATGTAAGATCTTTCTGTTTCAATTAATTTGTTACTTTGGACTGTTTTATAGAGTACACGGTATTTGAACCGTTTAATGAAAAAACATGTACTTTTCTTTTTTCTAAGTTATTGCACACTCATATTTCTACCTATTATTTAACGTTCCTAAAACCTTTATTTTTACTGAATTCAACGTGTCACAAACGAAACAATATCTGATAGATAGAAAAACACCACTCGGATACAATAATTATATAGTCATTAGAATCATATCAATGAGATTTGCATAGAGAACAATAGCTAGTTCAGATGCTTGCATGGACTTATTCTCAATATGTACTCTCCACATTCCCACGCTAGTATCGATATTCCAGCATAAAGGGAATTATAAAATTTTCGATTTTCGAAAATCGTCAAATTCTGACGATTTTTATAGCGTTATTTTCGCTGTTGAACTGTTCTGATGTAAGTTTCTGATACACTATACATGTTTATTCTAAGACTTCAGCATGTTTAACTAAGCTTATAAGCTTACGTCGAAGATAGGACTTTAGATTCAGCAATCTGAGAAGCAACACAATTTTGTAATATTCTTTAATTTCAGCATGATCTTCTTGAATGTGTTTTTGAATTTCAATGCATTCAACATTTTAAAGTGACATACGACACAGTATAGAAGAAAGAATGTGCAAAGACAAATAGGAATTAACTATGAATTTGGAGACTCCGAGAATCATGTTTTCAGGTTGGTCTGTATATAAATTATTCCGACAAAAGCACCAAAAGAAACATATAAAGTGGATAGAAGAACAGAACAGAACCGGAAAAAATATAGTTTTAAATTAAACATGAGGATTTTATTTTTGAAACGATAAAGATGAGATGCCTAGTACTGTCAGTAGTGGTTTTAGGTTGTGTCGTTGACTGTTTTGCTATAAGGTACGTAGGTGATGGCATTTTAGTATTAAATGATAACAATAATTATACTGAACTATTGGGTAATATTTCATCACTTCAACAATGTCTATGTTATGCATTTAATAATAACTCATATCTTGGTTTAAACTATTTTAAAAATAATAGAACATGTCTATTATTTCGAAATTATTCGGACATTTGGCCAATACGATCAGATGAGAATTCTTCATTTTGGTTTATTCGATTCCCAGTAGAGATGTTATTGACAAGTAAGTATATATACTCGTTCGAAGCAAAGAGCAAATGCCGTCTTATAACTAAGATAATTAGAAAAGTCTATTCTGTAGAGTCCAAAGTACTTATAATCGTGTAGGGATAGCAGCTACCTTTACTGATAATTCAACGGTTCGACAAACATAATTTTTGTTTTTCGGGAAAATCTATGTCCAAACACGCTTACGCTCATTTCTCACGTATTGTGTTTGCATCACTTTCAGCAACGTCAACTTTAAGATGAATTTTTGGGTATAAAACTTCAACGTTTTCTCTTTTGAAGATACTAAAGAAGTGACACAAAACAATTCTGATTTCGTACCAAGTTTTTATTAAAAAATCACATATACGGACTAAACCCAAAGACGAGAAAGTAACGCATGTTTCTATATTTTAGCGTCACCAGTCAGACTAACGACAACAGGTGAGTTTTTATGACAAAGCTTATTCAAATGTCTGTGAATGTGAATGAGTAATAAAGAGAAATATTTTTATGTTACATATTAGCGTTATCATTATCAACATTAACATTGTTGCGTTTGAGTAAAATCGAGAATTATAAGGTGCATCTGTCGGTATGTGTTTGGACGTTGTCACTGTATGGTTCTTTAGAAAACTAAACACTTTGATCTATGGGTATCTATGAAATATTGGTGCGAGAAAGTTTTTTTCTTCGATTATTCTCTACTTTTCCGAAAATCTCTTTCACCGTTAGATGCATGAGGTCATTTTCATTTGTACGTGCATTTGGGGATATGATATAAACCTCTAAACGATGTTCGAAATAACTATAAGAAATTTTAATTTTTGATAACTATACAGTGTACACAGTCGACTATGGCGACTCAGAAAATGACTATGAGCGGCCCTCTGTCGGTCATGTTATTAGCAGCTTTATATTGGTTGTTCTATGTGCCAGTTTCTGTAAGAGAATAACGCACCTGTGTTTTGATATGGTGTTTTTCTTACTGGTTTTCTTTTCTTTCTGACTTTTCAAGTTTCCTTTATATACGAGCTCAGACTAATTACTGGAATCAACTTGTTTCCAGACTCGCCATGAATGATAACCTGTAGAAAAATATCGACAAATTATTTAACGCTTAAACAGTTTTTAAGTAAAACGCGTTTAACAGAATCAAAACTTATTTCGCGTTTTTCTTAAGACTGTTTTTCAGCTTCAGGGCTTTCAAAATTCACAGGAATTCTCGGTAACGATACACCAGAGGAAGTTTTGCTTTTCTTTGATTCGTCGATAATACCTATAGGTAGGAGTTGACAGAGTCCGATTTTTAAATTATGCTTCTATTTTTTTATTGAAATGAGGATTTCTAAGAAACCTTTTTAGAATTTTTCATATTTTAAAGTTCTATTAAGCACCAGAGATCAGCAAACGAGAAACTCAAAAGTCGGGCTCTGTCAACTCCTAGCCATAGGTGTTTACTGCAAAACAAAACCGGTCCGAACTCTCTTACACTAAGAGGACGGAAAAGTATACGGTTAGTCATTAATATCATCTCTAGTGCACCATTAACATGAACTAACCACAGAAGTGAATTAGAGCTGCAACTCATCTTGAGCGCATCCGAGGCTACCTTTACGCTACGGTTATCTCAATTGTGTTTTCATCCCTGAAAAAACGAGCAGAACTTAGTATCAGATGACTACAATACCAGGTGCAATATCCAAAAACAAACACTTTATTAAAAAACATAACAACTTTCGACTGATAACTGAAAAAACAACATAAATCATGAGAGTGTTTACTTAAAAGACCCTAGAATGGAGGTTGTTTTATATCACTAAACTTAGAATACTAATGTTTGCGGTAAGGATTTCTTATTAAGGCCAATGGAACACTGCTACAAGTATGGCAACAGCACGTTATGCACATACTGCGACTTTGCTCAGTTCCGGCAAGGTTCTGATTACTGGTGGTTATGGATCATCGGGTGTTCTTGCTAGTTCTGAAATATTTGATCCATCGACTGGCCAATGGAACCCTACTGCAAGCTTGGCAACAGCACGTGATACACATATTGCGACAATGCTCAGTTCGGGCAAAGTTCTGATTACTGGTGGTTATGGATCCTCTGACGCTCTTGCTAGTTCTGAAATATTTGATCCATTGACTGGCCAATGGAACTATATTGCAAGCATGATAACTGCACGTTGTATGCATACTGCGACTCTGCTCAATTCAGGCAAAGTTCTTGTCACTGGTGGTTTCCAATCGAGCTGTAATATCGTCGGTAGTTCCGGATCGATGTATATTCTTGCTATTTCTGAAATCTATGATCCATAGACTAACCAATGGGAACCTACTACAAGCATTTAATGCCTGCATGAAATTGTGTTCAAAATGGTCAGGAAGGCGTAATGATACGAAGTGCCACATCAACCGCAAACACTTTATTAGAAATATAAAAGCTTTCCGTCGACAACTAAAATCGTCGACATAGATTCAGTTGCTGGTAGTGTTGGTCTATGATTTTTTGTCGCTTATCTATAGATTGACATTTAAACAACTCTAATCTCAACACTGTATATAGGTGTTTTTGTTTCATGATGCTTATTCTTTCTGCAGGAGAAAATTAATAATTGTTATATTGCTGCTACTCAATGTACATATTGGAATACGCACTGAAGTACAAAAAACAATAAAAAAAGACATTATTGGCCAAAATTCGCTGCGTTCTCGGCAATTCAAGTAGAGGATTTCTGGTAGTTTATGAGAATCCGTTACCATCTCCTGTGGTTTCGTCAATCTAGTGAACCTCCACTAGACTTTCACCAATATTTGACTTGGAGTGAACTCCGACCATCAGTACTAGTACCTGAATCAAAGGGATGTCGCCAATATTGACTGAGGCTCGGCGAGTTTCGCTAATTCCATCTCTGTTTCTTAGCAATTGACGAAGGTTCTGGGGACTCACACCAATATGAGAAGTTCCTATAAAAGTTCGCAAATGAGAGTCCACAGAACCTTCGCTAATGCGACCCGCTCCTTTTCGCCAATTGGCAAAATTTTACGTGACTTTCGCCAATACACTATCCGGACATTAGTCAATAATTGACGACAGCTACATTGGTGAAGAGCGAGAACCCCTCGTCAATCATACACGTGGTGGAAAAAGAGGATTTAGTAGGTTACGAGTGATTGGTATCCCGAGATACCAATATGCTTTCTGTTATCAAAATAAAATACCTGTTTTATAAAATAGCAAAACTGATTCTATAAGATACAGATAATTTTTTGAAGTACCCAGAAGTTCAGGGTACTTTCAAAAAATTTCAGTTCATGTGATCTGGAGCTGGTGACCAGATCAGTTCATGTGAACTGGAGCTGATGACTGGGTCAGTTCATTTGAGTTTGAACTGGGAACCCAGTTCTTCGATTCAGTTCACAAGAACTGTTGAACTTGAACTGTCACATGCGTACCCTGAACGGTATTTTAAATGCTTAAAATGGTACATGGGCATTTACTTCGTTTTGAACGGAATTTCGTAGAACAAGGAACATTTACTTTTCGACAAGGACAATGTCTGGTTGCACATTGCGATTTACAATCGCAAGTGGCACCACTGATTGAACCACGAACAAAGAGCTTAGATGCTTCTATTAAAGAAATTTCTTTAGCAAGTTCAAATACATCGAGTGATTTCAATTCGTCAGGGCAAGTTGATCTCAGGTCAATAATACTTTCGATTGAAAATTGGTTTTGTAAGAAACCATATTGACAACATAAATGAAAAGTAAAGACGTTGTCTTTTTTTTCTTTTGCTACAAGTATACATGGTAACAGTTTTGGATCTGTATTTGTTCTATCAACCTCGTGAATTGTTCAGCTAATTTATGTAAATGTTCATCGTATGCTTTCCTTTTCTTATTTGCTGTTCCTAAATAATTTTATGTCGCTTTACGTCTTATGTCATT